CCCCCGCGCCTCTGAGAAAGGCCTCAGGGGCCCTGCATTGTGATGACCTCGTCCACTCTACGACATCATCTCTCTCCCACCCCACTCCTCTCTGGCAGCTACTCTGCAAGCAGCCATCAATCTGAATCCCAAAGGCCCCAGAAATTCTGTTCTCTATGACCTCCCGCTGATCTTCTGCCTCAGCCAGCCAGAGGCACCATGAAACTGGCATTCACCGAGAAAAACTACAGCAGCTTTGTCCTCCAGAGCCTGAACAAACAGAGGAAACAAAAAGAGTATTCGGACATGGCCCTAACGGTGGACCAAGACCACGTCTTCTTTGCACATCGCAACGTGCTGGCTGCCGTCTCTCCGCTGGTGAAGAATCTCATGGCCGGCAACGACGTGACGACCACCGATGAGCTCTTCATCAACATTGACGCCAACTACCTGAGCGCGGCCACGGTGGAGCAGCTCCTCGACTACTTCTACAGTGGCAAGGTGGTGATCTCAGAGCAGAACGTGGAGGAGCTGCTCCGGGCCGCCCAGTACTTCAACACACCGCACCTCCAAGTTCACTGCAGCGACTTCCTTATTAAGTCCATCCGCCAGGCCAACTGCTTGCGCTACCTCTTCTTGGCCGAGCTGTTCGAGCTCAAAGAGGTGTGGGGCCTGGCCTACTCCGGCACTCGGGACAACTTCCACTACTGGGCCAGTCCCGAGGGCTCCGCGCACTTCCTGCACTGCCCGCCCGTCATCTTCGGCCGCCTGCTGCGCGATGAAAACCTTCACGTGCTCAACGAGGACCAGGCGCTCAGTGCGCTCATCAACTGGGTGTACTTCCGGAAAGAGGAGCGGGCCGAGTACTTCAGGAAGTTCTTCAGCTACATCAATCTCAATGCCGTCACCAACCAGACGCTGGTGTTTGCCAGGAACAAGCTCGTGGACATGGAGAGCAGCTCGAGCCACGTCACGCTGATCGAGAGCGTCCTGGTGAACCGCAAGCAAGAGCGGCCATGCAGCCTGCTGGGCTACCAGCGCAAAGGGTCCCTGCTCGACTGTGTGGTGCTCCTCGGGGGCCAGAATGCTCAGGGAAAGTTCAACGATGCTGTCTTTGCCTATATCATCCAGGAGAACCTGTGGGTGAAGCTCTCCAAGATGCCCTACCGGGCAATGGCTCTGAGTGCCACCTCTGCCGGTCGCTACATCTACGTCTCCGGTGGCACCACGGAACAGATCTCAGGGCTGAAGACAGCGTGCCGGTATGACATGGATAACAACTCCTGGACCAGCCTGCCCGACCTGCCCATCGGGCTGGTCTTCCACACCATGGTGACCTGCGGGGGCACGGTGTACTCGGTGGGCGGCAGCATCGTCCCGCTGCGCTACGTCTCCAACATCTATCGCTATGATGAGCTCAAGGAGGCCTGGTGCCTGGCAGGGAAGATGAACATCCCCATGGATGCCACGGCCGTGGTTACCAGGGGCGACCAGAACCTGTACATCGTCACTGGGCGGAGCTTGGCGAAAGGCCAAATCTCCCGGGTCGGGGTAGTGGACTGCTTCGACACCAGCACTGGGGAGGTGGTCCAGTGTATCACCTTCCCCATCGGGTTCAACCACCGGCCCTTGCTCTCTTTCCAGCAGGAAAACATCCTCTGCGTGCACAGCCACCGGCAGAGCGTGGAAATCAACCTGCAGGAGATAAAGGCCAACAAGACCACCGCCTCGGTGCCTCTCTTGCCCAACGACTGTCCTTTGGATGTGTCCCAAGCTATATGTTCCATTGGAGACGGCAAGGTGTTTGTATGTGGAGGTATCATCAGGGCCAGCGATGTTCAGACCAAGGACTACACCATCAATCCAAACGCCTACCTACTGGACCAAAAGACTAACAAGTGGCAGACCCTGGCCTCTCCGCCAGAGGCGCTGGACTGTCCCGCCTGCTGTCTAGCCAAGCTACCCTGCAAAATTCTTCAAAGGAATTAAACAGCTTTGTAAGTGGGAGAATAAGTAAATGCATCATCATTCACAATTTCATGAGGGAAAGAGGAAGGTGGTCTTCTGCTTCCTTCTTAATCTTCCAGGGCCTGCTTGGCCCTGAAGGTGCACTTGTTAGGCCAGGGCTGCTGCACGTGGGTGGAAACTCAGGGCTAGCCTGTCACTGGAGGGATCCAAGAGAGGCTGGACCAGATGGAGTCTCTGGTGGGTGGGACAGAGACATCTCCTGGGTGCTGGCTCCCACTGGGTGAAAATCAAAGCTACTCTGTCCAGGGAGAGGGAGATCCAAACTGAGGATGGAAAGAAGAATCCCCACAGGGTGGGGTGGACCTACCTCCCAATCACTGGCCAAGGTGATATCTGGAAAGTCCCCTGTTCTGCAGAAGTGTAGATTCGGGGGCCGGGTGGCCTGGTTCCATACATTCTGTCCCTCATTGGGTGATCCTCCATGAGTCACTTAACACCTCTCTGCTTCGGTTTCTCTTTCTTCAAAAGAGAGTTAATAAGTGTGCCTACTTCACCGTGTAAAAAGTTTAAATGAGTTAATCCACGAAAAATGCTTAGGACAGTCCTTGGCATGTTCTGAAGTGCTATAGAAACACTTTTTTTCAGGATTGAAGGAGGGTGAGGCGAGGGTCTAAATCTTGGGCCTGTATATTAAGTAAGTCCCCATAAAATGCTCTTTGACACTCTCTAAAAAAAAAATTGTACGAATCTGCCTTTCTGTTGGATGCAACATTCACTGAATCCTTCATTACACTTTGTAAAGATACTTATGAAAGATAACTTTCAGAACTGCTTCGGGCAGTGGGAAGAATAATGAGGTAAGTGTGTTTGGAGCCAGGAGCAGTATTTTAGGGGATTAATTGAAATGTGTCTTTTACTGTAATAATATTTTTACACACTGTAGTTTGATCACTTCTTGT